TCGTACTTAACACAAAAATACTATCAATTGTGGACTAATTTCTCCAAAATCTTTGGTACTCCTATTGGTACTGAGGTACAGAGGTAAAAGCTTTCATTACTACACTGAGAAATGTAATTCTCCCGTAATGTGATAGGCCATTTTCATTTCCTTTTTTAAAATTGTAAATATTAAGTTTTCTTGGAGACTATATGGAGTTATACTCGTTCTCAAAGAACTACTGCAGGCTACTGTATGGCAGACCAAAAACTGCAAAAACATGTTCTTCACAAATTCTGCTATTCTATGGTCCAAGCTGTACTTCCCTTTCAACTCAGCCAACTTCAATAATGAGACTTGAAGTACTGTACGAAGTTTCCTGTGAGTATATATGTATATATATATATTGTGCCCTATGAAACAGGACTTCAATGCTTAAAAATCCTTTGTTCTCACCAAAAATATGTTTAAAATGCAGTCTTGCAATCAGAATAGGTTGTCGAAAGCATTTATTATAATATATTATTGCATGAAAAAGGTGCTCTAATAATAAAAAAAATTTTATTTAATATTGAAAGAAGCAGTGAAGGAAGTATAAATATCGATTTGAGAAAAACCTATGCATTGAGAATAGCGAATGGGTTGAAGTATTTGAAAATATGCCATTAATATAAGAAATTATAACAAAAACCCTTTCTAAAATTAATGCACTGTTTTTGATTATAAACTCTAAAGGGAAGCAAAGGATTAAACAAAGACAAGGGTTTGATGAGGATATTATCAAACGAATCAATTAATTTAAGTGATTAATTAATTTAATTATATGTTAACCGCTCAGGGATTGGATAATGGAAGATATTTAAAAAGACAACGTTAAAAATTAAATTTAAAAGTAAGAAAAATTAAAGTAATTACTGTATTTTGGAAAAATTGTATTTTGCTAAACATTTAAATGTATAATAAAATATAATCCCTGATGCGTATTTTAAGATATAAAGAAATAAATTTTCTCTATTATTTACATTGTTAAATTACTGATAGAGAATCCTATATGGCTATTACATGTCCATTTGCCTACAGATTGAAATATATAGATTCGAAATTGATAAATTAGTTTGTTTGTATTAGATTATAAAGGATTGGGTTTTAATTTTGTCAATGAAATGGAGTCAATGTTTCACTTCAAGTCAGTAAGAATTAATCAAGCAGAAAGAGTACTCAGTCCAAATTATTAATATATCTAGCAAGTTTTAAATGGCAGCTGTAAAAGTTTATGTTATGCCAATAATTGAAATAGCACTTTGGTGTTATTTTAAAAAATAGAAAAAATTGAATATCATTTAATAATAAAATTTCTTTCCTAGTTTATTCCTTTATTATAAGTTACTGTATTTAGTTAACTAAATCTAAATCTGGATTTTTTATTAGAAGTCATTTAGATTTGGTGACAAGAAATGTAATCTCTGACGGTTTGTCATTATTATTTTTATAAAGTTTAAATTGTACTATGAGTATTCGTCCATCGTTTTATATAATAATTAAATAAAAATGAACTTACCGTAAGGACATAAACACTGGTACGAATTGCCTTCATGTCCTTGTGACAAATCAATACAAATGCCATTATTCGTGCAGGGACTCGGTGTACATGCATCAATTTCCTCGCAATGTGGTCCAGCAAAACCGCTACAGCATTGGCATTCATACTCTTCTATTGCCGGACTTGAATAACAAACACCTTTGCCGGAGCAATCAGCACTCTCACCACAATTTTCCGTTTTTGTGGTCACCTTAAGTCGGACACATTTCGCAGCCCAAAGTTCAGATACAACTGTTTCGTTGTGATCCATTTTTATTGCAAGCATGAGTAAGTAATTGTAAAAAAGTGGAAATTTTACACATTTGTACTCAGCACCCAGAGGAGACTTAGAGTTATGTGCAGGAAGACAGGATGTGAATCGAGTGAGTTAGCATATAAACGAATTATGTGTTGTGTAACTTAATTAAGCTAGTGCAAAACTTAATTGGGAAAAAGTTAGTTGAAAAAACCGTTCACGCCGTTCATACCGTTCACACCGTTCACACGGTACAAAAGTAAAACTAACATATATCATATACATACCATATGTACACATATATAAAAGTAATGATGTTATGTGTTTAGTAAATAAGAAAAAGTGCAAAAATAAAGTTTCAGAAACTTAACTAGAAAAGTAGATAAAAGTGTCACAAAACTAAATAATAAGCAGAGCACATGACGTAAATTTCGGTAAAGTATGTAACTCTGTTTCCTCTAAGTTATGAGCCATCTTTGTATATATATTTATATTTCTTCCACTAACTACGGATATTAGCTTTATATTAAATACGGCGAAGTTCCCGGCACCGCAAAAAAGTAAACGAAAGCGCAACTGCACAGATACTTAAGCTGCTGCTGACACTCATGCAAACAACTTCCGCCGCTTTTCGACTACATACTTACCAATTAGCAAGTTGACTCCCTCGGTTAGGTCCTTATCGTAAAGTGTCACAAGTTTTCTGCCATCCACTACAAGCGGTGTGATATCCAACAGGATACCCTCGGTTGCATCGCAGTGCTCGTGTCCGGACCGCGTTACCTGATAAACTTGAATTGGATGAGCCCTGGAAAGAGACGAAAGAAAAATGCTGAAGTGTGTTAATTTTTCATTAAAGTACACGACTTACGAGTGTACGCTAATACGCAAAGAAAATGTATAATTAGCTTTGAAAGGAAATTCGTCCTATATGCCAGGTGCTTTCCGTGCGAGACAAGAACGTGTGTTTTTATGGATAAAATTAATTGTACCTTATATCGCAGTTTCAGTACACAATGCGATTAATCAGTTACATTTAAGTGTGATTTTTAATTACAAGTATTATTCGAAAAAGATATGATTGTGTACTGTGATGAGATGTATTGAGATTTTTCACATAAAACATTGTTACTATAGACTTCAATTCATTTTATCTTTTCATTCATATATCATAATTTTTTTTCTACGACATATTGTCCAGTAAAATTAAAACTAAAAAACTGGGTTCATTGTTGAGAAATAATTAGCAACTGAGACTAAATTCGTAATGCAAAGGAAGCACAAGCCGTTCATATCAATAAAAGCGAATATGATTAGCGCATGGAAATCCATATAGGAAAAGCAGTTCCAAAATGAAACACAACGATATTCGAAAAAAGATTAAGTAAAAAGCGGGAGACATGAGTAACCAAAATTTACAAATTTTATTGCTAACAAAGCAAAAATGGAAGAATAGATAAACGATCCAAAGAAGCTTCCGACAGGGCTTCTACACATAACTCTATGATAGAGAAAATGTTGACATTGTTTATAGCTTTAAAATTATTTATTTTCTTTTTTTCTTCTTAAATGTTTTTAATCGAAATATTTTTTCGAAGCCGAAAAATTTTTCCAATTCTAGAAACAATTATTTAGGCCGATTTTTGGAATGGCCTTCAAAACGTGCAATTCGGTTTTAATTTCCTCAATCGACTCGAAACAGTGTTCTAAGAATGACCTCTTGAGCTTAGGGGATAGTTAGAAAACATGCTGTGCTAAAGCAGGCGTATACGATAATGTCAAACATCTCGTCTATAGACGATACATGCATCAAAGAATCATATGTACATGACCAGCGATTATAACACTGGAAACAGTGCTTTAAAAATGATAACTCTACTTCAAATTCAGCAGGAAGACTGTTTTGGACCTGCTTTATGGGCAATTCTCAACACAGGTGAAAAGTTGAACTTCTTTATTGTATTTATCGTATTTGTTAGACCTAGAGTATTGTCTGCACTACATTACTTACGTAGTGAAGCTGTAATATGCCAAGTGGTTGCGCAGGAAAATGTTTAGTATGATGTGATGTTGATATATCAGTGGAATGACCTTATTGCCAGTGTTGCATAGTTGCTCGACAAAACAAACAAATAAAATTTTTCTTTGAGTTTGTTTATTGCCTGCCCTCGCTGCGTACATTTATTATGCTTCTCCATTTCAATGCGCAAGCAAAAAGGATGTAAACTGTTAATAAGCACATCAATTAAACCAAATAAAGCACATTTACATTCCTTTTTGTGCTTCTGTACACTCACGGTTTATTTTTCCTCTTCGTCCTTCGTCCTTAGCTGGCGGGGGAAGTGTGTTTTTTATTACCTCTGCAATAACTCATTACATTAATTACTGTGATTTGTTACATGTACGATTGAGTGCCACCTCCGAATTTCAATCATGGCTCATGGCTCATGGCTTACTCCTAATTCATTAATCACCGAACAACAAAAGGATTCGACCGCTGGCACACAAAGCGATTTCTTACTGCAAAATGGCTTCATTGTGTGTTCGCAACCAACACAATTAAATCGTTTTAAATCGTTAAACAAGCCAACACATACACGCATACACCCGCTCGAAAGAGCCAGCCAGAGACAGAGGCACGCACACATATCAGCACATGAAGACAGGGAACTATTCAAATATGCTATAAAAATATTTGCTAACTGTAATTGTAGTGGTTAATGTGAAAATATGTGGGCATTTCGAAGTTTAACCGAGAAGGAGCCATTATAGAAAATTTATGTTCACACTTTCAAAATATTTTCTTATTCTTATTTCTAAAAAAAGGGGATCAGCGAAAGACGAAAAGAGTGGGAGTGTGTGTGTGTGTGTGTGTGTGTGTGTGTCTGCAATGCAATTTAATAAACTGTAAAGCATTTTATAATGGCAGCACGTGAAGCGAAGTAGTGCTGAATGGCTGCAGACAAGTCGACGGAGAATCCTTGAATCCTTGAATCCTTGCAGATATAAAAAATATTGAGTAAGATTCGAGAGGTAAAAACTTTAAGGCAAAAAATGCAAAAAATACCGAAAACTACCGAATAAATGCAAAACAAGCACGTTTACAAGTTCACTTACAACTAAAACGGCTGTAAAGTGGTTGAATTGATAATAAGGATTCGGAACTCGGCGCATTGATTTGTGAGGGTGTTCACTGCTTGCATTTTTATTTGGTTGTCTGGATGACATAAAATGTGGAAACCAGAAGAAAGCTATTTAAATCATATGAATTTTAAATAGAAGCCATCAAGTAAAATTAACTGTACGCTTTATTAGTGTATAAAACTAAGGGATTGGAGAAATCCTCTTATATATTCTTTTTTAAAAGTAAATCAAAATGTCAGGTGAAGTGATTGCATTTCAAGTAACGCCTTTACAAGAAATAATATAGATAAGAAAGTAGTATTGAAATTTATATAAACGATGTCTCTTATCAGAGTTACACACATATATAGGTGCTCCCATGGGTGTACCTTTGTAAAACCGTTTGAACAAAGAGTACCATTTTCCGAAGGGCTAATACTATGCAATAGAAATCGATCAAAGTGTGGTAAATATAATATATCCGCCTTCTCCAGGTTCTTTTGCTGATGTCAATAGATTTTTAAGAAAAGATTTTCTTCAAAAAGCACAAGATAATCATTTTGCACAAAGACAACACTTACCAAGGCCGTTAAATTCTAAAAATATTTAATTTAACATTTATTAAATAGAGATATACTCTAACACATAGCACTTTGATTACAATTATTGTCAAGTATTCTAATATTGTGTATGAAACAAAATTATTGTGAATTATTGTGAATTATAGTGAAGCCAAAACTTTTGTTAAGGGATATTTGTAACCAATCTTCGATTTGGACGCAATGTTTGATGGATAGTATAAAATATAAAGCATTCAGTTGTAGAAACAGAAAAAAATATAATATGGGAATGTATATACACGACGGATTTATTAAAAAAAAAATATTTAAAAAAGTTTAATGGAGAAAGAAACTTTCCATTTAAACAGGAATAGAAATAAATGGGGTACCAGCTCCCAATAGAGCGGAGCCTGCGATCATGGTTAATTGATAAGAATTGTGATTCTAAAACGTTTATATCATGAAAACCATTAGTAAACAAACCCTTGCCTATATTTTCAATAAAAATATTTCCTTATTACTTGGATTCTAATATCTAAGAACACAAAACTATTGAAATTTTAATAAATTATGGAAAATATAATATGCTGCTCTCTCACAAAAACATTGTCACATAATAGATTTCAATGTAAGCAGCTCGTAGTTTAAAAATTTATATTAACAAAACATCAATGTCTAAATATTCTCGAATATTTATACGAAAAATTCGTTTTAGGTGATGAGAATTATAATTCGAAATTGTTACAAAAACAAGAAAACCAAGAAAACCATATTCATGTGACAATTTCGAATTACAATTCTCATCAACTTCTCATAGTTGATGAGAATTATAATTCGAAATTGTTACTAAAGCAAGAAAACCATATTAATGTAACAATATCGAATTATAATTCTCATCAACTAAAACGAATTTTTAATATAAATATTCCAAGATATTTATATTTGGGTGTTTTGTTAATATAAATTTTTAAACTTCGAGCTGTTTACATTGAAACCTATTATATGACAATGTTTTTGTGAGAGCAGCATATTATATTTCCCAAATTTTATCTAAATTCCAAGTTTTGTTTTTTTAGATATTAAAATCTAAGTAATAAGAAAATATTTTAATTGGATATATAAGCAAGGGTTTATTTTCTAATGGTACTGAATTACAATTCTTATCAATTAAAACAGATTTTTTTTTTAAATAGATTATAAAGGTTTTGTTTCTTTACTAAATTTTCATATTAGCTGACATTTTAAATTTTTCTTATATATCCCATCCGATAAAAATATACTAGAAATAAATCATTTGGTTAATGTATTGAAAAAGTATTTTTCTGTAGTAAAAAATTTGATATGTAACAGGTCTCAGTACAAACAACTCTAAGTAAATATGTCTACATTAACAGACCCTACCGATACAGATATTGGGAAGTGTTTAAAAAATAAAATTTGTTTTAACTGATATGAACTACTTAATTTGATAATCGATTTTCCCAAAGATAAATAAAATATAAACTTTGACGAAATTGTTTAAATTAAAATTGTAATAAATAAGAAAACAATTTTGACGATCAAGAAGTCTATATACAAACAACTACAAAATGCCTATATTAAAAGCACGTGCTTTGTTTTTATTAGCAAGGAAAAGCATGAAGAAATGTTGTAGTTTCATTATTATCCACAAAGCATTCCTTTCGGAACTTGTTTTTTTTTGTGGTACAGATACTGGAACAGAAATCATAATAGTAATAATGATATACCATAAATAGATAAGGTCATAAAACACAATTCGCTGAGTGAAGTGTAGGCATTATCTTAACGTGATATGATCTTTTCTGCTTTTTGAAGGAAATTTTTTTTTAAAAAATTGTTGTACTAAAAGATATTAGTTCTTAATGAAAAATTTTAATCAGAATTAGCTCAAGATTTTAATGTTGGTTTAAAATTTTTTCGTCTATTCGCCATTATCAGATAGAACTGCACATCCCCCGATTTTTATTCACTTTTTAATCAATTTGATATGCTAACAATGTAGTAAGAAGTAAGTAGTAAGTTTTAACCGTTGAACCGAAACTCTGCAATACTTGAGTATGTGATTATTTTTATTTATTATGAATAACTGAAGGACATCAACATTGTGCGAAAAATTTCATTCCAAACGAAAATGGAATTGAAATTAAATTACTTGTAACTTTAAAAAATAATCGATAATTCAAGGAATACGAATGGATCACTTTCGTATTCCATGGACACGTGAAGAGTTCACGTAATTCTTAACCGCAAGCAGTAAAATAAATTGAAAGACACTCTGCATACTTTTGGGGATATCTGCTGCTTTTAGAAATTATTTCTATCGATGTATTCATAAGCAATGTACAATACACAGACAATTATCTTCAGTCACTTAAAAATAACTCAAATTAACATTTTAACTTACCTCGAAGTGTTTCGACCGTTGAGGAGGGCATCATTAATTTCCACAATCAGAATGTCGCCGTATTGTATTTCAGCCTCGCCCTGCCAAGAAACGGCTAACGGTTGACAGTTGCTTTCCCCTTTGCAATTTTCCGATGACTGCAAAGATAAATAGAAGTTAAAAACTCATTAAGAAAATATCAGAAAATAAAAATAAAATAATTTTCAATATTTACTTAATATTTATAAATTGTATGATGTTGTGTTTGTGTAAATTTTGTGGGAAGGAGCGTAAAGTTTCATTTGATATTGTTTCAAATACATTTCTGTTTTGTATATAAAGTTTTATTTACTTTTTGAAACCAGCAAAGCAAGAATTTTTGAAATATTTTTTGTAAATATAGTTTATTGTTGTTGTATTGCTGTTGGTTGGCTATATTTTGGTATAGTAGTTTGCCAAATGAACCCAAAACACAAAAAAATTTACATAACCAAATAGAATGTGTGGATGCACAACCGAAAACACAATAAGGGACTCTGCCATAGTTTATATAGTATCAACCGCATAACATAACCCTTTCCGCATGTCCTGCAGTGAGTGCCATGCCGTTTTATTTAACCAAACAAAACCAAACTTCACAAACCGAACCAAACTGAACCGACAAAGGATATTAATAAAATTTATAACATTGCCACATGCGGTCGAATATGTACATTTTGTCTTCAAATTTTATTAATTTGGGATAACACATAGGACAGACAAATTTATGCTCTTTTAATGTGCTGTTGAAGCTGTTGAAGCTATTGAAGCTGTTGAAGCTGTTGAATTGTTATTGCTGTCGTCGATTATGTTTTTATTCCGTTTTTGAAAACATTTCAAACTCTTAGCATACTTTTAGGTTCATCCGTTGCGAATGTGCTACATTTAAATATTTGCTGTTAAGTTGCATAATTTATTAGTTTGCGCACTTTTAAAATATGGGATAAAATGCTCTTTTAATAAACTTATGAGGAGAAAGTACTCAAGCAATACTTACTTGAAAAGGTATTAAAATAAAATGAGACTGTCAAGCAACACGTAGTAGCTAACACAGTAGTTTAGCTAATATCCTCAAGAAAAAACCTTATAAGTGCTTTGCGCTTTTATGATCACATCATATGTTACTGATATTTTGCATATATTTTATTTATATAATAAGTGAGATTCACACATTAATAGCATTTTCAACAACATGTTCGTTCCAAGTGTGAAAAGACTTGAATTTGTGTAATCGTTTTAACAAAACAAGAAGTCATTAAATTTATTCCAAATTACCTGCCTTCAAACGTTATACTTAGAGCTCAGATAATATATTTTAGGTACTATCTTATAGGTTGTACCTCACATGGAAAGAAGGTATCATATATCTAAAATGTTCTTGTTGTTTCTTAATTCGGCATACTTTCTTAATGAGCTTTTATAATATCTCTAACGCTAAGGTTAGAGGCTTAACATTAAGGTTTGCTCGATATCCATTTATGCAAATATTACGTTTTCGTTTAAATAAATATCTTGTCTTATGATAGCCAAAGTATGAGTAGAGCATCTTCTGGGTGAATAAGCAAAAAATTCCTTTTCTTTTTACTCAACTCTTTTATTATTATTTTATTATTATATTTTTGTCAGCCAATGCTTCTTTATTAAACTTATTGAACATTACATATTTTTTCACATATTTTATTGACCTCTCACTCTACTTATTTACATATATATCTTACTTTATTAAGATGTATAAATTCCATATACTTACTTACTTACTTAGTTGGCCATTACAGACGTGTGTCGTCCTTGGCCGCGTCGAGTAGCCTCCGCCAGTCAGCCCGATTAGTTGCCTTCTGACGCCAGTTGGTAGTACCGAGCGCCCCCAAATCGTTGGTCACCTGGTCCTTCCACCCAAGATGCGGACGTCCTCTACCGCGTTTTCCACCTGCGGGTACCGAATCAAATACCTTTCTAGTCGGAGCACTTTCTTCCATTCGCACAACATGACTAAGCCAGCGTAGCCGCTGAATTTTTATGCGCTTAACTATGTTAATATCGCGGTATAGCTCATACAGCTCATCGTTCCATTTTAATCGATACTCGTCGCCAACGCGTAAGGAACCATAGATCTTCCGAAGAATTTTTCTCTCGAATGCTCCTAACGCCTTCTCATCACTGTTGGTAATTGTCCAAGCTTCTGCACCATACAGCACGACAGGCATGATAAGGTATTTGTAGAGCCTGATTTTTGTTTGTCGAGAGAGGGCTTTATTTCTCAATTGCTTACTTAGCCCGAAGTAATATTTGTTGGCAAGAGTAATTCTTCGTTGAATCTCTAGCCTGACGTCATTTTTGGTGTTTAAGCTGGTTCCTAAATAAACGAAGTCTTTCACAACTTCGAACTTATAATTGTCAACAGTGACGTAGGTCCCAAGACGCTCAGGAGATTTGTTTGTTGACAGAAAGTACTTTATTTTGTCCTAATTTACCACAAGACCCATTTGTTTTGCTTGTTTTTCTAAGTTGGAAAATGCCGCACTGACGACGCGGGTGTTCAGACCAATGATATCAATATCGTCGGAATACGCAAGCAGCATTACACTTTTTTAGAATATTGTGCCAGTACGGTTTAAATCTGCTGCTCGAATTATCGTTTCCAACATTAGGTTAAAGTAGTCACACGACAAGGAGTCACCCTGTCTGAAACCTCGTTTGGTATCAAACGGCTCAGAGATGTTCTTTCCAATTCTAACGGAGCTGGTGGTGTTGCTCAACGTCATTTTACATAGCCGTATAAGTTTTGCTGGGATACCAAATTCAGACATAGCGGCATAGAGTGTGCTTCTAGTCGTAGTGTCAAAAGCAGCTTTGAAGTCGACAAATAGGTGGTGTGTGTCGATTTGTTTTTCTTGAGATAAATTCCATATAGCTTATCAAAATCTCTTGAGTATCTTATTCTGTCTAGGTTCCACAGATTCCGAAATCTAACCATAATATTCAAGCTACTACTATTCAATATAATGCTCCTACTAGTACTAAACTTGAGTGGTGCTAAGCTTGAGTGCATAGCAAAAAGCACTCTGACCTCTTAGTACTGTTCAAACAAAAAAAAATTATGAAGAATTGCTGGCCGTTTATTTAAAAAAGGTACGATTCTGATGACGTTCTGGTTCGCTGATCATTTACTTCGTATAAGTAAAGAGAATCCGACTCGAAAAGCCGTTTGTGAAAAAGTTAAATGGTGAGCAATATCTGTGTTGGAAAGGCGACGAATACAAAGAAGCTAAAAGCATAGAGCCCCTTTAGGGATTGGTAGAGAGATTTCTTGTAGAAAGCATAGGCAAAGTACCAGTTGATCATCCCACAGCGATTAAATTCTTTGTAAAAAAGTGTTTTCAAAGCCGGAACCACAGAAACTTAGATCAAAATGATAAATACTTTTGGTTAGGTAAATTTGATCTTTCGAAAACTGTGTTTTCTTAGTAAGATGGGCTTTTCAAAATTTATCGTGTAAATTTTGAGGATTAAATTAATGCAAAAAATTAATGCAAAAAAAACTATATCAATACTGAAAATCATAGAAAAAATACAAGAAAGGTTCAAAGATCGTTGTGTGACAGAGAGAAATTCAATGAAAACTCCACGTATTTTATTAGGAACACTTGACAATATTTTTTTAAAATGCATTGAGCTTCAGAATGTAACGAAAACATATTTTAATCCATTTTGGAAAGGATGACGAGATAATGAACATTGTTACATTATTACAGATAAGACTTTTGGATACACCATTATGATAACCAAAATAAGGGTGTAAAAGGTGATGTTACGGAGCATCATTTATTCAGTTATTTAAGATACAGAGATAATGCAGGTAACCATATTGATGAAGTAATGTTAAATAATAATTGTAATCTCATCGATCTGTAATATGTAGAAATTTTTAAAAAGACCAGGTTTACAGAACAGAAAACCTATTTACATTAAAACAATGGACCTGCTCTCAAAGTTTACTTCCTCAAAACTTAGTATAACTTATTAAGGTATAAAATATTATAATAGCCAGATTTAAGTCCTTGAATTATTGGGTCTTCTCGTCTCTCAAAAACATTTCTAATCGATGTATAAACTGTTAGATGGGTAACAGTTTATACTCAAAACTTTCTGAAAAATCAGTAGTGAGACCAAGCTTTAAGTAGAAGGTTCGTACGAGGTATTGCGTTAAAGTTGAAGGATATTGCACTGAAAAAATTTTATTCGTTTTTCCGTTCTCCGAACTTATTCGTTCGTATTGCGTTACATATGTGTCACATAACTTATGAAATTATAATTTATACCGACACTTTTCGTTAACTTTCTTTCAGTGCCTAATGGACTTTCTTTTGTCCATTATAGACATTACGTGCCGGTTATAAAGCACATAATCTTACAATATTTTGAAAGTCTTGCAATTATCCTTTCCGACCTCCGCAAAAGAATTTCTATTCGAAGTTAACGTATTTAAATAGACGCTGCCTAATTTGTTTCTTTAGTGAATTATTTAACCCTAAAACTTTAATCCTCTAAGTAAGTTATTAGCCTTATACGGCCTTGTGTTAGGCTATAAGTAAATAAATTGGATTTTATACTTAATACACCTATTTACCTTTCCTTTCTGGAATTATTATTTTCAGTTCGGTTTAGCTGTCATGGTTGTTTTTGTTATGATTTCCACTATTGTTGTTGCTGTTGTTGTTGTTGTTGTTGTTGTTGTCGTTCTGGTTGTTTTTATTCGATAAACTGACTTTGGTTTTGTTATGTTAGCTCTACTTTCTAAGTTGCTTCGAGATTTGTTTTAGTTTGCCTCATTTCAATGGACTCGATATTATTTGTTGACTTTGCATAAAGTTTCATAAGCAAACAAGCACATAAACAGCACATTTGAAGCACTATAAATTTATTTATTTTTTCACCATAAGAACAACAACAACAACAACAACAACAGCGAAACGCAAGAAGGATGCACGAGGGATGGGATGCCCAAAAAGGAGCATTCGAAAGTAGTAGTTTTTAATGCTGTTTTCATTTCAGCTCATTCGCTTTTTTCGTCCTTACTCTGCGTTGGAGTAACTTTTTCGGCTGCAGAGCAGATAGAGACTCGTTCGCATCCATACGAGGAGACATTAACACATATAAGAGGACGAATAAAACAAATTTCAGTTCGAATCGAAATGTAATCAAATAGAATTAAATAACAAAAAAGGATTTCATTTTCACAACAAACGACAGAGAAACTTTCATTTTGCTTGTATTAAAAAAAAAGCTTGCGAATTTCAACTTCTAACGGCGAGGTCCTTTTGTGTTCCATGTAGGTTGCTGCGTCGAGATGTCTGTCTGCATGTGGGTCAGATTGCATAGTTGTTTCAATTTTATGTCGTGTTTATGTCATTGTTATTGTGCTTGTGCTTGTGCTTGTGCTTGTTCTTGTACTTCCTTTATCCTTTTTCCTTGTGCTTATGCTTTTTTGCCATCATTACAAATATTTTTGTATGCAAATAGAAAAAGGACTTAGATCGTAAGGACTTACAATCTGTGCCGTTTTATTTGCATTTGAATTTGTTTATTTAAAATTTAATTTATTGTGTTCAATGAAATTGTTTCGAACATAGTTTTGTTCTTTTGTTCCTAAGGACTATCACAACATCCTTTGCTGTGAGCTCTTTCCATATGTGAAAAATTCACTGCGGTTTGTTTTAAGCCTGCAAATTATTAAATATCCTTTGATTAGTTCTGTTCTGATAAGAGTCCCAAATAAATGCTCTAAGACTTGGTGTACTGACATGAATAATAAATTTAAAGATGTTTGCTTGCTAATAACGTATTCTCTAAAACAATTTCAGTTGAAATTTAGTTAGAGAAAATGCCCGAAGGACTCATATTCCAAAATTACATTCTCAGAATATGTGAATTAAATTGTATAAGTATATATGTATATAATTTAGTAAGGTATTGTGGTTTAGTATGAAGAAAATGAAGAAAAATTAATTATTATTTTTAAGACATTTCAATAAATGCAGTGAGCAATATTTTGTATCAGATTGTATCGGATTCACTATGAGTGCACTAGGAATAAAAGTTAAAATATTAAAAAAACACCGACTTTAATATAAAAACACATTTCAATACGACATTGTCATTAACGTGTGAAGGATTTTCAGAAGAATAGAAATAATTTTGAACACCATTTCCTCACTTTGGTCGTGTATCATATCATAAGCTGGACAAGTGCCGAACTCTGGCTATTAGTCTTCAAAGCGATAACCAGAGTGCCGAACTCTGGATATTAGTCTTCAAAGCAACTTCACGTCTAGATCGGCAATCAAGGCGAGGGAATCAGTTTTTTTATCACATACAAATCTTTAAAATAATCCAAGTTCTGAATTATTTGTATGCAAATTATTTAGAAAATACTCAATCGTATTTTATTGAACCAAATTACCTGATCACACAGTTCAAAGAGTAGTGGAGTATCTCGCAGACTTTCCGAAAAATCGCTATAGGGATAGTACTCGTATTCATAAATTGGTTGATTGTTTCAATAAGTAAATTAAAGTTAATGGGAGTTACATTAAAGAATATAGTCACTTTTATAATTTGAAATCCTTTTATATCTCCCTTTTGCGAACATACTGAAGAACCCTGTATAATCTTAATTCAATGTTTTCTGAAAACCACAATGAGATTGCACAATTGACACGGAACCAGCACTGTTGTCCGAACATTTGATGTTATTTTTTTTCATAAATTATCACTTCTTGAAGAAGAAAATAAGTTTCTTCCGAAAAAAGAAAGAATACTGCGGTTATGAGAGGAGACCAATAGCCACCATGCCTAACCGCAATAACATTTCTGTCGGGAATGCATTGCACATCCGACAAGTGAGTGAAATTGGCTCATGCCTCATGCTCGACCCAGAAATCCTTTTTTGATTGCTCAAGCATTGTATGAATGACTTTTAATTAACATTACGGATCCTTTCAAACATTTCAAAATGCACATTTATTTAGATTTTTATTGTTCTTAAGTTAATTTATTAGGTTAAGTATGCGACTGATTGTGTGTATGTGTGTGGATGAGTCGATGTGTCGGTGTGTCGGTGTGTGGGTGTGTTTCGCACACTCAAATGAATAGGTTCGTAAATGAGCCTTTGCCATAGCTTCCAAGATGCTGGTTTGCTCCTTCAACTTCTGTTTGCATTCAGTTTCAAGCTACTTCACATTGTGTGCTGTGTTCTAAGGACTTTGCATTTGATTTGTATGTTTTGTATTTGTTCTCTTGAAACTTCCTTTATAAATTATTAAGAAGGAAATGCCATTTATGCTGGCAGCCTTAAAAGTTTTTACTTAAAGTTTAAAGGTTAAAATGTGAAGTTAAGGCTTACAAATTGCAGTAAATATTTTGAGCGAAAAGTGCTATGCCATGAGATATAGTGCACTCCATCTTATGGAAAAATACATTACAGGTCGTGAATGCTATTTATGAAGATTGATATTACGAACGTAGTTTATTAAAGTATTTTTCATAGAAAACTTGTCAGCAACTAATTTATAAGAAAATTTCAGTAATTCACAAGCAAATTAAAATTAAACTAAATACAATTCATTTCTATAATACAAAATGAAAACTAAAACGAAAACGAAAAGGTAAACCGTTTTAAAAAATCAGAGTTATACATATATTGAATAAGATAGCTATGAGTATTTTAAATTAACCATGGCTATGGATTGCGGTTAAAGTTTCGAAGTGGTTCAGTTTCGTGTTTTGAGGATACTACCAATCAGTGGTTTGCTTTTTTGTATTTTTAGTATAAAGTCATAATAGTTCGGTTTAGATATAGTAAAAAATCAGGATCGTAGGATCTATTTATAGCCATAAAATATGTATTTACACATGTTTTAAAATTGAACTTCGATTGTAAGAACAATTTACTACAACACGCAGATAAGGCAGCTTAAATTTAATCGGCTTCAATTCTTGACAATGCCTAAGAATTATATATGGACATGAAACCAATAGATCCACTGATGACGAACATTTGCTAGTATTAGCCCAACAATACACTTAATTAAAAAATTACCAAATCTATAGGATCTAAAAATTTTCCCAATATAATGACTTATTCTATTCAAAGTGGATTTCTTATCATAGTACAAAAATAATTTTAATTAATAAAAAACTCTAGGTCTCTGCTGCTTAAAAATGCACTCCTAGTAACAGAAGTGAGTTTTGTTTAAAAATATAAAATGTATTGTGCTCTAATTTCTATAAACGTGTTATATGTGTTTT